CTCCACCAGGGGTGTAGCAGCATCCTGGGCCCTATTTAAAGGGGTACCTGTGAGTGACATCTGTGCTGCGGCCAGCTGGTCTTCACCGCACACATTTGTTCAGTTTTATCACTTAGATGTGACAGCCCCCTCGGTGGCTCACTCTGTGCTCTCCGCTGGGTCTGATGTGCTGCACTAGCATGTTATTATGACCCAAGTTTGGTGCTGCTCTGTGGGGCGTTTATATATGTCCCATACATGATGTTGTACCGAGTGAATTGACTGAAAGGGAACGTAATGTTATGCATATAACTACTGTTCCCTGAAGGAAAGGAACAAGGTACAACACATGGTGGCCCCACTGCACAGCTGGGCTCGGTGAAGAGCAGTTACCGAACTGAGGAGTGACTGTGATGCGACAATATTTATATGTGCAGGCGGAGCCTGACATCTGTCGTCATCACGTCACCTGCCTAAAGGCGTGATTAGAGGTGGCTTCAGCCAGGACACGCAGGGGCGTGGTTCCCATACATGATGTGTTGTACTTCGTTCCTTTCCTTCAGGGAACAGTAGTTATATGCATAACATTACGATTTTACACTGACCTTGACAATGAGCATAAGATTGTATATTTCAGGGTTGGGTGCGCTTAGTGTCGACACCTTCTGAAATCCCACCTAGAAACTTGGCCAACATCCCCCAGAATGCCGTGCGGTTCTGGATCGAAGTTCAATCACGTGTCTGTCACGATATGAATTGTTGCAGAGACTGAATGCTTTGTTGTATTTAAACTATTTGCTGTTTAATTTGTCAAAAGTCATAACGTTTTGAATATTTTTTTATTTGATTGGTGAACTTTGAACACTCCGTCGTATATATATAAAAAACCTTTTAGGTAAAAAATATAGTTAAACAATAACAAGTAAATGAGAAAAGTAAAACTGAACTTTGTAAATATATAATTGCTTTTATAGAACACTAAAGTGATCAAAGCTGAAACGAGACCAAACTGTGGTCAGTTTAGCTCTTTGTTTTCTTTATAAGTAATTGTTGATGGTTTAGAGGTTTGAATGGTCGATGGAAGCATAATTTCAGAAATTACGGGAGCTGAAAGTTAATCAGTCAACGAATCGATGAGTTTCTGTGTAATTATCATGTTGTTTATGAAGAGGTGGCCGTTTTTAAATGTGTGTTTTTTTTTTTCTCCTGTAGGTGGGCCTGGGTCTGGGCTACCTGGAGCTGCCTCAGATTAACTACAAGCTGTCTGTTGAGCATAAAGACCACAAGATCAAGCTGGACACGCTGCCAGAGCTCAGACTGGTAGGTTTTATCTGCTCAACACCAGAACTTTTGTAAAAACAACAGGAGTCCGTTCTTCCCTTCATGCTCCTCCCTCCCCCCTCAGCTCCAGTCCCTGCTGGACACCAAGTGCGTGTACATCCTGGACTGCTGGTCGGACGTCTTCATCTGGATCGGGAGGAAGTCGCCTCGTCTCGTCCGAGCCGCCGCCTTAAAACTAGGCCAGGAGATCTGCTCCATGCTGCACCGGCCCAAACACGCCTGCGTCACCCGCAACCTGGAGGGCACCGAGTGCCAGGTCAGGTTTTCCAGCACCGCGGACCTCTTCCATCAGCCTCGTTCTGTTTATATTTACTCTTCATCCTCCTCTTCAGGTGTTCAAGTCCAAGTTTAAGAACTGGGACGATGTGTTGAGGGTGGACTACACCCGAGCTGCTGAGACCGTGCAACAAAACGATAACCTGCAGGGCAAGGTTACTGATTCTTCTGTTTATTATTTGAGATTTGTGTTAGTAGTTAGTTCATGTGTTCTCCTGTCTGCTCCAAGGTTATAATAGTTTTGGATTTTTCATTATAGTTTAGTTTTATTTAGTTTAGACTTTTTTCTTTTAATTCAATTACCGTATTTTCTGGACTATAAGGCGCCTCGGAGTATAAGTCACAAAAGTAAAAATATGTGTCATGAAGAGAAAAAACCACTGATAAGTCGCAGCTGAGTATAAGTCGCGTTTATTTAGAAATGTATTTTATAACGTCCAGGAACAAACACATACCTGAGATGCAGAATAGGCTTAATTAACATTATGTTACAAACCAGCCAGTCCAAAAAACAAATTACAGTTAACCGCAGGTTCACCGATCTCACTCCACATCACTGAATCAGTTCAAGTCTTCATCCTCGGTGTCTCCTCTGAACAACTCGGCCAACTCCGGAGGAAGAGGAAGCGCTGCCGTCATCTCCTCTTCTGCAGGACTGTCATCAGACTCAGCAGTTTGTAATCTGCAGAATAAGATTTTCTTTTGGGCGGCATTTTGTTTGTGTCCAGTCTGTCTCAGTTTTCATTAATGCTTCAGTTATTTAACTAGCACCAAAAAACATTCACAATTATATGGCGCCCCCTCATGGCTGTAGGTAGTATTGTTCATGTCAGTCATTTAATATTAAATGCAACAGCAAAAAAAGAGGCGTCATGAAGAGAGAAAGGGAAAAAAAAAATACATAAATAAGTCGCTCTGGTGTATAAATCGCAGGACGAGTCAAACTATGAAAAAAAGTGCGACTTATAGTCCAGAAAATACGGTAGTTTTTATTAGTTCTTACAGTGAATTTGTTAGTTTTTATTAGTTATTATTGCATTTTTAATGCTTAAGTTTTAGTTTAGTTTTTATTAGTTCTAGTATTAGTTTTTTTTATAGTTTGAATAAACATATTTGCCAATGCATCCTCAAGCTTGTGATGTTCCTGTGAGTTAACTAACCAGCAGCTATTTGGTCACTAGTTAAAGCAGTCCATTGTAGCGTAACTCAATTTTGCCAACTAAAAACTCGGGCGATTATTTTAGGATGATGACAATAGTTGTCTCCAACCTGGTGCTGCTTGTTTTTCAGAGATCCACATGTCTCAAAATAAACAAACACTAAAACTAAGGATATTCTATATATAATTTCAGTTAGTTTTAGTTAGGTAAAAAGATTATACAGTTTTAGTTATCGTTTTTTTTTTTTTTTTTCATTTTATTACAGTTTTTATTTATTTTATTTAACTAAAATGTTTTTTCAATTTCACTTTTCGTTATTTAGTTAGTTTATCTCAACTATAATAACTCTGGTCTGCTCCCAGGTGAAGAAGGATGCAGAGCAGAAAGACCAGATGAAAGCTGACCTCACGGCCCTCTTCCTCCCTCGGCAACCCGCCATGCCCCTCTCTGAGGTAGTTGTTTTTGTCGAGTTGCTGTTTTTGACTGGAAGCAGACGACTGCCTCACTCCTCTCTTTCTGTTTCTAGGCTGAACAGCTGATGGAGGAGTGGAACGAGGACCTGGACGGTATGGAGGGCTTTGTGTTGGAGGGAAAGAAGTTCACGCGCCTGCCTGAGGAGGAGTTCGGACACTTCTTCACTCAGGACTGCTACGTCTTCCTCTGCAGGTGCGCCCGTGTTCCACCGCTCCCAGACAAGCTCGCTCCCTGTCTCTCACTTTCCTCTCTGTGCTTTTAGGTACTGGGTGCCTGTGGAGTACGAGGATGAGGAGAAGGAGAAGAAGGAGGGCGGTGAGGCAGGCGGTGGAGGAAAAGGAGCTGAGGAAGAGGAGGACAAACAGCCCGAGGAAGACTTCCAGTGTGTGGTGTACTTCTGGCAGGGCAGGCAGGCCTCAAACATGGGCTGGCTCACCTTCACCTTCTCACTGCAGAAGAAGTTTGAGAGTCTTTTCCCTGGAAAACTAAAGGCAGGAAGAAATTTTTATTCTTTTTATTTGCTAACCTCGTCACTAACGTTAAGCCATTAAAAAGTATTAAAAAGTTATAAACGTCATCTGACGAATCTGGCTGSTTTATACTTACACGTCTTGTTCCCCCTGCTGAGTGACACAAAGTTGTGTAACTTCCACTGCCATCCCTCGGTGACAGCTGTCATGTTCATTGCCAGTCAGAACTCTGYGGTGTGGACCTTGYAGCTCAGAGYGTTCGATTTGTTCACGAGGAGCATGCGGCTGATGTTCACGTCTTTCTTCCATCTTCCATCACCACCGTTAACACAAAACCAAATTTGTTTTCTCCGGACTCTTCACCCAACAAAACACTGATTGTTGAATGAAAAAAAAAAACACAACATCCGGCCATCATTGTTGTTGTTGTCCTACTTATATGAGCCGTGTGAGGGCAGAGGGAGGAATTTTGATCATTTATAACCCGCCGTGTCTTCAGCTCATTTATACTCGCTCAGGAAAGACTTTTTTTTTGTTTTTTTGTCATCAGGGGAAACAAGACGAGTGACTCGAAGTATAAAACAAGCTTTAATTGTCTGAACAACTCAACTATAGACCAGCCAATGATGATACACGGTTTATACTGACGGTTCTTTCAACCAATAAAGAGAACCACAGTGAGCATTTTAACCAATCAGMACAGAGCAGGGCGGGTTGTGCTGTCTGATTGACAGCAGGTGCATGCAGCAGCGTTGAGACGGACTGCTGGTCAAAGCTCTCAGCGTTCCCTGAACTATTCTCCAAGAAGGACTACAATTTTATATTTATTATATTTAGRAAGCACCTCGCAAACATTTCCACCGTTAATGTGTTCGGAGCGTCGATGTTAACTTACAGACATTAACTTCAAAGCTGCCTCACCRGAGTTAGCTTTAGTTCTTATAAATAAACAATATTAAAGCTATAATAATATTAAAGACAAATATGTCCCAGAGTATAACACCAGTGTCTCCATTTGACTTTAGTTTTTCYCCCAGAATCACTCACTTCTCTCTGTGAGTCARCTTCAGGTGTTTATCATAAAAATCTACAAAAATTCGACCAGATGTTTCAACAACAAAAGGCTGTGGCTGTTTCATTCAACTTAATTATATTTAGAACCATACTGAGAGGTGTACTGTGATAAATGTGATTTAATAAACAGGAATAATAAATATTATTAAATAATCTTTTTAAATGAAATAATAAATTTAAGGGATAAATCTGTCAGTCTGGTAAAAAATAAAATAATAAAAATAACTTAATTCAGACTGAAAGGACTTCCTGTGCTGTAATGTTTAAAATATTGAAAGGCTGAAATAATCATTTAAAACTTGGCATCAGTCTTGAGAATCTAAACGTTTCAGGTTAAAGTTTTCTTACATTAACACTTCAAGAAAATAACACTATTATTAGTTACTCCCAACTAAAGTTCAAGAGTTTGCTGCTACAGTTGCAGCTYAAAGTCATGTTGGTATTAAATATTGTGATGGTACTAAATTCACCGTAAGACTTCCTGTATAAACCCTGTTAGTGAGTGCATCAGATTTGTGCTGAAGTTGACGTCCTGTTTCGGCGTTTAGGTGGTGCGAATGACCCAGCAGCAGGAGAACATCAAGTTCTTGGCTCATTTCAAAAGAAAGTTTATCATCCACAAAGGCAAGCGGAAACAGAACACCGACTCGGTCCAGCCCTCCCTCTACCACGTCCGCACCAACGGCAGCGCGCTTTGCACCAGGTACGCTATCACACGCCGKCCCGCTTTCACCGTTTATCAAGGTGGGGGTTGTTACATCCTCCWGTTTTCTGCTGCGTGTTTCTTAGGAGCATTCAGATCGGCACAGACTCCTGTAACCTCAACTCAGAGTTCTGCTTCATCCTCAAGGTTTGAGCTCTTTTAATAAAAAAATATAAAAATCTATAAGAGATTACTGCTTAGTCAGCTTGCGTCACACAGCGTGTTTCCTGCAGGTTCCCTTTGAGAGCACAGACAACCAGGGCATCGTGTACACCTGGGTGGGCMGAGCCGCCGATCCTGACGAGGCCAAACTGGCCGAGGACATCATGAACACCATGTTCGACGACACGTACAGCAAACAGGTCAGACCCAGTGTCCTCAGCTTCCATTGAATGGTGWTCTGATCACAGCTGGTAGTGTTTCACATCACTTCCTGGTAAAAACTGACTCCTAGGTAATTAATGARGGGGAGGAGCCTGAGAACTTCTTCTGGGTTGGGATTGGCTCGCAGAAACCGTACGATGAAGATGCGGAATATATGAAACACGCTCGGCTCTTCAGGTGCGAGGACACCCCCCCCCCCCTTTTTTTTTTTTTCCATCTGCAATGAGAAACCCACTTCCTGTTCTTATTGTGTCCTCCATTTTTCTTCTGTTCATCAGGTGCTCAAACGAGAAGGGTTACTTCTCTGTTTCGGAGAAGTGCTCGGACTTCTGTCAGGACGATTTGGCCGATGATGACATCATGTTGTTGGACAACGGCAAAGAGGTAACAGAGCGCGGTGTCTGAAAGATGAAATGCACCATGTTGAGATTTATTTAAACAYTTATTTCCTCCCAGGTGTACATGTGGGTCGGCTCTCAGACCAGCCAGGTGGAGATCAAACTCAGTCTGAAAGCCTGCCAGGTGAGTGGGAACCATCAACTTTGTGGACACACATTAGGGTTGGGCAGAATTGTTTTGTGTGCTTGTAATTGTCAGAAAACCTTTCTACGGTTGTTTTGCACTTGACAGTTAATGTGATTAATGCTGCTRGCACAACTGATGAAGGATTTCCCGTCAGTCCACTCGGTGCTCCTCGTCAACCAATTAATGGATCGCCTACTTCCTYGTCAAATATCTCACTCTGTCTTAAACTGTTTTTTTAGAGAGCATACCTTTCCCATTAGAGCAATTTAAATCATTCATGTGACTGGAACATGTCGGTGTCCAGAGGTTTATAGTAACTAAATACATTTACTTTGCTACTTTTAAGTAGTTGTTTTGAGGATTTGTAATTTTACCAATTATTTTTTAAATAGCTACTTTTACTTTGTTGTATTTTAAAGCTAAAAATGATACTTTTACTTCTTTACTTTAAAAGGTAACCCCTAGCTACTTGTTACAAAATTAAATATGTTCAGACTCATCATGAAAGATGTTTCTGTGCTCTAAAAAAATGAAGTGTTGAATTTACTCCTGTAAACTGGCTTCACTGAGCCTAGTTGAGGAAACTGAGCAAAGAATATACACATGTTTAATTTACTCACCCTGACTTGGTGGAGCCAGTTTGGTTCAGTAAATTCAACAGTTTATTTCTTAGTGTGTAAAAATACTTTTACTTTTAATCTCCCAATTTTTGTGAACAGTTTTGTGACTTGTACTTGAGTAGTACTCTCATCAGTGAAATTTATTTTCACCAAAGTCATTTTCTGTTCATGTAATTTTACTTAGTTTTTTTTTTTTCAAGTATTTTATAGACCTCTGGTTAACAGCCATGTTAATCATGATAAATGCCAACATCGCCCAACCCTAGCACATGCACTGTGTACGTTATCTACATGTTAACCCCTCCTCCTCATGTCCTGGTCAGGTTTACATCCAACACATGCGCTCCAAAGAAGCCGAACAGCCGAGGAAGCTGCGCTTGGTGAGGAAGGGCAACGAGCCTCACTGCTTCACACGCTGCTTCCACGCCTGGGGTCCTTTCAAAACCCCCCCATCCTAGGCCCAACGCTACGAATAACCCACGCACTCATCCAGTCAATGCTGCCATGTAGTTTGTTTTTTTTAAACCAGTAAGACATATCTGTGCCTGTCCTCCATCCTTCACTGCAGCCTTTGACCCAGCAGGTTTCTAAACATCCCAAGTAGTTGAAAATCGTMTGGATAAACACAGGTCAAAATCAGAGATATTTTTTTTTAACCATCAAATGATTTTATGCAAGCTTAAATTTTATGAAATGAAAGAATAGTTTATGATGTAGAAAGGATTTGTTTCTCTGGACAGATTCCGATATGACATCTGCTCACAGGTTTAAGGTAAAAACAAGCTGAGTTAAATTGGGTTGTTTTCATTTAAACAGAAAACAGCCTCTGAGGAATGTTTGAATATACTTTAGAGATGGGCTTTGTTTTGTTTTTGTTCTTGTTTTCACCTCAATTTTCTTTTAACACTGAGTTTTGGTCACTCTTCTCACCCTCTGAAGTTTTGTTGTGGGACGGGATTATCACAGTTTATTTGGCCAAAGACGTTTTGTGGAGATCAGGGATTTAAGACTGGGATAGTTTTTTTTTTTTACACTTCAGTACAGATCTTTAAAAGTGCAATCAGGAAAAGTCTGGGAGAAAGGTAAATACTGTATTCTGCTGTGGGCTGATTTCACTCAGAAAAATGTTTATTTTTAAGAATCTTTTTTTTTTTTTCCCCCAAACTTTGTAGCCAGATGATCTTTGAGCATTGCTTTTATTTTTGGGAATAAAGCACATTCAATTTAAATGCAGAGGCTGTTCTGATCATGTGACCTGTGTTGTGTGCAGGCATTGGTCCAAACAACAGCTCTTATTTGTTTTCTTTTTAGKGGGGGTGGGGTGGATTGTGCACATGCTCCTGATACCACCTGCAGATGCTTTATTTATGTATTTTATATTAAAAAAAGTCACATTACATGCTTTTGTCTGGTCTTTTCACCAACTTATTCCACACAAACCAAACGTTAGAGTAAATACATTTTATTAACATTCACAATTCAACAGCCAAAATGCTAAATAATCAAATTAATACATTTCTACAAATGAAACAGACACTGGAAACTCAACTGTGGGGTTAAAAGGTTCAGTTATACCAGCTGTAGCATGAAACTGTTAATTTAGTTCGTAGAACATCAACAATACTTCGATAAGACTTCATGTTGAGCTACTTCAGTCTAGGTTTTAGGGTCCGGTGCTTTGATGCTGGTTTACAGTCGCACACTTATTGTAACATTAAAATTAAAAAGTTTAAAATACTGCTGATCAAAGCTAGACTTGTTGGCAACATTACCCAGAGTACGCAACACTTTCAGACTGACTTTGCAACACTTCCCTGAGTCCTGTCTACAGATTTCCTTCAACTTTATCCACTTTTATATAGAAACTGCTGGGAAAACATTTTTATTCAATTTTTTTACCTAATTTTAGCAGAAAATGACATGAAAACCTGAAACTTTATTTTTAACGTTGAAGCTATGAGAAGTATTTTCCCKCCTACAGCTTGCAGTTCAGTGATACTGTAATAGATGTGGTCCCGATGACTTCCTGTCACATGGCACATGGTCAAAGGTCAGCCTCCTCTCCAGCTGCTGATCCTTAAAGTCACAGTGTGATTTTTATGCCCACCCACTCCCAACTTTTAGCCTTTTTAAAATAGATTTACTTTCTCACATAGCAATACAAAAACATTCAGTCGCAACACAAACCTTCATTGTTCCAGTTAATTTCTTCAACGTGTTCTGATGAGCTGTTGACGTCTACATCACCTCCACCTACTCAGTGGCACCTAAATGAAGAGTGGAGATGCTACAACGTCCAAAAAAAAAAAAAAAAAAAAAAAAAAAAAA